TTACAGTTGAAAATATTTATTAAAATTTACTGTAGCAACATGAGTTCTCTAAAAGTAAATTCTTACTAAGATTCTTGAATTACTTGTCAAAATGAGTAGCCATCTAGATTCCACATTTATCTCTAAGTATGCTCAGAGTGGGTAAGGTCTCAGCAATTTAATTTGGTGTTTTCTATGGAAGCAATTCATCAATTTCTTATTCATAACTTTATATTTCATGAATTCAGACTAAAAGATCTAAGTTTTTGATCTCTTGCTTAAATTTTAGACTATATATGTACACATATGGGGGGGCAAAAGTAGAGTCATAGTTGTAAGTACATGAAACAGTTTATTCTTGCATTATTATTAATTTTTGCATTATTTTCCATAGAAGCAACTGTATACCTACCTTTGCCCCACCCTGTATATATTTGACTTGATGAGATTGATTCTTTTACTACTTTGTATAATATAATTCAAATTGAAAAGTTGGTGTTTTCAACTATTAGAAAAGATAGTTCTCCCAAAGGTATCCTTACAAAAAGTAGGCTACATGTGTTTCAAGTTGGCAAAACATAAGAAAAAGAATATCTGAGTCACAAGATGAGTCAAGAGGGTGAGGTTCCCCCCCCCTTATCCATCTGTTTTAAAAGGGTGTATGATCCCAAGCAGTAGGAAAAATCTTTGATGAAATTTGATGCCAAAAGTTGGAATTTGTTCTTTAATATTTAACTTGTACTAAGTGAAGATCTGAAACATTTAACAGTGCTGCTAAGAAAGGTTTGATCTGTTTTGGAGATCTGTGTCTACTTTGTAGGAGATTGGTAAATGCTGGTATTTCAAGACTTGAGACCTGTTTCGTACTTTAGGATATGTTTAGTTCTTTAACACATCTAGTCTGTAGTGCTGGTGAGTGGGAGTGCTGATTAACTGCTTATCTGGTGACAATAACAGCCAAATAAGTCACTCTGTTCCATCCTAAAAGAGGTATTTTTACCATTTGTTTTTGAAAGCTAGCTTTCTTAGATCTTGGCTTTAAAATATATTTGTGGCACTGCCTTCTAAGCTAGCCATTTAAGAATATTTTAATTGTTTAGGTACAGATTCCTTCATTGCTCAGCTAGCCCCAACTAGATAATAAGTACTGAGTAATCTAGTGTGTCTTACTCACTGTAATCCAAGCAGGAAGGAAGGGACAGAAAGGAGGAAATAAATGAATGGTTGGAGAATAGGTACTGCCTTCTTTCAAACAACACTGACTTATAAAGAAGCTCAGGATGAGTTTTGGCTGCATGGGGTATGTGAATAGGTGATTAGATGGAGCTTGTTCCCTCCAAGTCATACTTCAGGGGCTTTTTAAAAAGCGGGTTACTGAAAGTTAAAGGATCATCAATGGCCCATTGCTTTGCCTTTGAGGAAAGTTCAAAGTTTAAGCTACCAGAACAGGTATCAACTAGTTTATAATATTTCATAAGATAATTAAAGCAGAGGAAAGTAAATAGATTGTAAATGTTTTTAAAGGGCTTTTTGCCAGAGAGTGAGTTAATGATACTCATAATTACAGGATATACCGTTAATAACTCTTCCCCTCCCCTTTTCAAATCAGAAAAATTGTTAGGGGTTTCATAAATGGAGAGTTTAGGGAAGGACATTCCAGCAGAGGATTTATAAGGAGATGGAGGCATAAAGTTTATGCTGTCGAATAATTGTGCCAAGAGCATTGTAGCTAAAGTAAAGGTAATGGGGGGAGAGAAAGATGGAAATTTAAATGAGGCTAAATATCATCAAGGGATTAAGACTTTTTATCCTGTTTGTATTAGGAAGCCACTAGAAAATTTTAAGCACAAGAGCTAGCAATTTGGCTGAATATAACTTTCGGAAAGATTGCCGTTGACAGTGTAAAAAGGATGGATTGAGCCAAGTGTATTTATTTTATAATGTAACTTTCCAAACTGTTATTCATGCCTCCACCTCAGTAAATGGAACTTCACAGATAGTTTCCATAAATATTATGGCACTTTATTTCTGCCTTTCCTCTTTTCCATTAATGATATGCTCTATTATTATATCAGCTATTGTTAAATGAAATGGCCCTGATTTGTCCACATACTGTTTGTGGAGACACTGTCGTCTTTGGTTTTCCACTTGTAGTCTGTGTTAGTCGTTCATTATGTTCAATTTCCTCATCACCTTTTGTGGCCTGTGGTTGTAAACTAAGATATACTAAAGATTGCTAAAAGAAAATAGGTAACTAATTCTTGGTATATATGTAAAATTAAGGCAAGCACGGAGAAGTAGCTTTCAGAAACATGTATGAACTTTGAGAAACCGTTCTGAAAGTCTTACTGATTGGTGTCTGGTTAGATAAGTGGTTTTACTTCAAATACTGATGGTATTTTGATCAGTAAGCTTAAAATCTGAAACATGTAGAATTAATACTTATTTAAAACATTTATTGAGCACCTGTTATATGCAATGTACAGAACACCATTGATCTGCCCTGAGGTGGGGGAGACATGTAAATAAATAAACCTAAATAAGTAAGTCAGAAGCACGTGTGGGACTTAATTTATTAAGTTCCCTCTAAAGGTAAGGGTATCTAATCTCATTGTGGAAAATTGGAAAATAAAGTTTATTTGAACAGTTCTGCTCTTCTTTGTTCCATTAAAAAAAGAATATTCTTTAATAGAGGGATAAAATGCTCTATGAAGTTGACGTGCTTGGGAAGTTTTGATTGGATTATTTATATGTGTGTTTTGCTGTTTGAAGCAGGGTTTAGATGAATCATTAAAACAATGAATGCAAAGGCATTTCTGCTGTAATACAGTATGTGCATTCCTGAATAACCTCACATGCTGCAAAGTCATATCTGGGAAAAATATTTCTAGGGAGACCACTCCTTATGCAGCTTTGTAACAGTGCTAACAGAAACCAATTTGATTTCGAAAATACTCACACACACTACCTCTGGCATTTGTGTCAAGCACCATTGCCATTTACTTACTAGCCTTAAGTTGGAACTTGTGCTTCCTGTTTTGAGATACAGGTTCTTGAGGGCATGTGCTTCAGCAGAAACTAATTTTATAAAAATTAAATAATGAACCAGGGTATAGTCACCTTTGTTAATTGCTTTTTGGGGGTGGGGAGAGGTGGTAGACAAGATAAATTGCCTTTGCAGCTTGTTGATTTGCACCCTTAGTTTCCACCAGATAGCAATGTTGAAAACCCTCAGGGGGTTTTAAGCCACTGAACATGGTGTAATTTTCTCTAAAGAGAGATATTTGTTGTTTTTACTTTTTTTCTTAAGGTTTTCATATTTTATTAAGACTTTATCTTTAATTTGAGAGAACTTGTCCCTGGCCTATTTATAGCATACCAGAACAAAATTCTTATGAACCAATGATATTTCTGTGCTCTGCTGACATCACTCCTCCTCTTCACCAACTGCATGAACTAATTCATGTTGGAGCAGCATCTTATCATTGTACAGTGTATACCTTAGTAGTGTATATAATTATAGTTCTTACAGTTCTTATTCCACTTTAAAATAATATTTTTAGATTTTAAAAATACATACTTTAACCTGGCCGGGCATGCCTCAGCGGTTGAGCGTCTACCTAGGATCCACACGATTGAGGTTCGAGTCCCAGTCAGGGCACGTGCCCGGGTTGCGGGCTCCATCCCCAGTCGGAGTGTACAGGAGGCAGCCGATCAATGACTCTCTCATCATTGATGTTTCTCTCTCTCTCCCCCTCTCCTTTCCTCTCTCTGAGATTAATAAAGATATATTTTTTTAAAAAATACATACTTTACCTTTTAAGTTCTTATAATGAGAATGCCATATATATATTTGAACTTTCAAAACAGTTTGCAATCTTGGTCCCTAATGTTGTGAACCAAAATACATGTATACATAATACATAATATGTGACTGAAAAGTGGGCCTTCACCTGATCATGTTACCACCCTGATCTCAACCTCCATCCTCCAGAACTATGAGAAATAAATTTCTGTTGTTTATAATCACCCTCCTGCCTAATACTTAGTAATACATCACCATAATACTCATGGGCAGTATAACATTTGACTTGTTAATTTTCTTTTTAAAAGTTGGTGATCAGGTTTAACCCTTTGCGGTCGTTTGTCTACTCTCAGCCACCAAAGCTTTTTTACCGTTCCGGTCGTATGTCTGCTCTCAGCCACCACAGCAGGGAACCATACAAATCTTAACTGTATTCATGCATGTATCAGTTCATAATTTCTCTGAAAGCTCTTAATTCCGACCAGTATGACACCCATGTCCAAATTTAATACGACTGCAAAGGGTTAATTTCTTACATGTTTGTATTATTTCTATTAAGTCATAATCAGAATTACTTTATATGAATTAGTTTGATTTTTCTAAAGGAATGAGAATAATGTAATTTAGAAGAAAGTGAAGAAAACTTTCTCAAGAATGCATATAAGAGACCTGATAGTGAATTTTGATAGAGTAATTCTAAAGTAATGCATACGTTTTTAAGTTGTTTTTTGTTTTTGTTTTTAGTTTTTGTTTATTAAGGGGGAAAAAAGTGTTTTATTTGCTCATATTTATAAAGACAATCTCTAGAAGAATATTCAAGAAACTGGCAACATTGCCTCCAAGAAGGGGAGTTGGATATCTATTAGGGTGGGGTGGAAGGGAGGCTTTGAGTTTTGAACCATGAACTATTAGAAATAAAGTAAATCTGCCCAGTAGTAGGAACCACCTGACTTTCATGATCAGCTTAGCATTGCCAATCCTGTTTATTATCTTGGTGTACTCAGCATATAGTTGGCTGTGTGTTATGGCTGGTGCAGACAAGCAAAAGGGTAAAAATATTTATGATATACTTTCTGTTATAAGGAACTAGTCAACAGTATATGTAACTCTTTTAATTAAATTGGAAATTAAACTATGGTTAACTGCTGGATGTTTTTCCCCTATAATTATCATAAAATCATTTTGTAAATCATGTTACTCTTTTGTTTACTTTTAGTTGATGCTGATGAAATTAAAAGGCTAGGAAAGAGATTTAAGAAGCTTGATTTGGACAATTCTGGTTCTTTGAGTGTGGAAGAGTTCATGTCTCTGCCGGAGTTACAACAGAATCCTTTAGTACAGCGAGTAATAGATATATTCGACACAGATGGGAACGGAGAAGTAGACTTTAAAGGTGAGAAAGTAGTTTTTAACATCACAAGTTACAGTCTTACAGCTCTGTGTACAAAAATGTTTGAAAATTTTCAGTTTTTCTTAAATGCCTTTATATTACTGGTAACCTTATAATAATAGAGTATGTTAAAATCTCAAAATCTGTGGTATATGAACATGAACCTTAATGAACTAAGATCTTTTACGTTTTGGTTCATAATTCAAATTTTTCTTATAAGGTAATCTAAAAATTGAGATTTGGTATTTTGCTTTTAGAAGATTAGTCTCACTTGAGGGAAACTTATCACATTAGAAGCTGCATTTTTTTAAACCTTTTTTTCAGAATGAGACTTACACTAAGTCAGCAGTAGAAAATAAACTAGTAATAAGGATATGGGCATTATCATAAAAAGGATTAATTTAGTTAATCTAGATTTCACAAAGACGCTCGGCAGTGCTTTTGCTGATATTAACATAATGCATAATTTTATACTTGATTCTGTACTTTAAAGTAAATAAACATTTCACTGGGGAATCATCAATAGATTTTGATATTTTAGTTTCAGGAACTGAACTGTATAAGTGCAGGGATCTAAAGTGATTATGATTTAATGTGTAGCAGGCAATGAAGAAAAATGACCATTTTCACAAAACTTCCAACACTTTAAATAACTCTGAATTTTGGAACCAGAAATCCAAAATTATTTTTGTTCTGGGAAAACCAAGTATAATCCTTTTTTAAAGTGTCCCCCCTTTTAATAGTCATGTTCAAAGAAGAAAGAGTTAAATAGCTTGTGAATATGTTTTTTAGTGTTATGCTCTGTGGTACTTAGAGAAACTTCAGGTTCAGATTTCTTAAAAATGTAGAACCTTATTAAGTTTCAAATTTGGCATTTTCCATCTTAAACATTGCTAAGTAGTATATTCTTTTGCAGCAAGAATATATTCTTTTGTGCGTATGTAAGTTTTTTTGCATATGTATTGAGTATGTATTGTTTTTGTATATAAAAAGTTGAAACTTCTGATTTGTAAACATTTTCTATTACTCAGAATTCATTGAGGGAGTCTCTCAGTTCAGTGTCAAAGGCGATAAGGAGCAGAAGTTGAGGTGTAAGTATTTTTCTTCACTGAGTTTATTCTCTTGTATATCACTAAACTACCCCATACTGCATTATAACCTCCTTTTAAAATATTCTAAAAGATACCTTTTATTCTCATATCCTTAATAGATATAATAAAAATTTTATATTCTGGAGAAAATCCTTTAGGACATTTACAACTAGTAATTTTTAACAATGTGTCATTGCTTTTTAATTGGATAGAAGTAAAACAGAATTTCTTCCTATTGAAAACAACCATTTAAACTACATATCTTGGATAAGAGATTTTTTTTTTTTTTTTAATGAAAGTGGAAAGAAATGGTGTGATTAGGTTAACTTAATTGAAACATACTGTGTTAGATATATTTAGCATAGGTTAACTTAGTTGAAACATACTGTTTTAGAAATATTTAGCAAGGAGTCCACTATTTTGGTTTATGTAGGCAGCCTCATTATAGTGAACACCTGATACCTTTTTAAATTACCCAGCTCTCAACTAGGGAGATGGTTTATTCAATAACATTTCTCTGAGGCAGGGATATATGCAGACATCCGTTGCAGATGAACTCTTGATATAAATGAGAAGAATAGTAACAGCAAGTACTGTCTTTTGTTAAGCTTTTACTGTGTATCAGGCACTGTTCTAAGCAATTTACTTGTGTTACTTCATGCAGTACTCTGAAGAACCTGGGAAGTAGGAACTGTTATTAGCCTCAAGTTTTATATGCACAGAAACTAAATGCTTAGTTAGCAAGGTTAAGTTACCCTACACTATACTTATTGGCCCCTTTGACTCCATTGCCCATCCTCTAAACCATTATGTTAAGCTACACTGAAGGGCACCATCTGTGTGTAGAAAGTAGCTGTCCTCCAGTTGCAATTCTAGGTGTTCGGCAACTTAACTGTTTTCTTTCTCATTGAAAGTATTCACTTGTGATTTCCTTATACTTGCCATTGATTTTTTTTTCCCCCTTACTCTTTTTTTTTAGTTGCTTTCCGAATCTATGACATGGATAAAGATGGCTATATTTCCAATGGGGAACTCTTCCAGGTGCTGAAGATGATGGTGGGGAACAATCTGAAAGATACACAATTACAGCAAATTGTAGACAAAACCATAATAAATGCAGATAAGGATGGAGATGGGAGAATATCCTTTGAAGAATTCTGTGCTGTAAGTACCAAAGATCTGATTCTTATTAGTTTTGAACACATTTTAAACACCACTTAATAGAGAATTCCTTATAGGTATTTTGCCCGAGAAATTGATGTATTTGATTTTGCCTAACTGTCCCCATTCAGAGTTTTTTGAAGTGTTTTTGTTGTCATTGTTAGTGAATAACAATTACTGATTATTCTCAAGAATTAATACAGGGATGGGCAAAAGTAGGTTTACAGTTTATATGGAAAATAATACAATAATAATAATACAAGAATAAATTGTTTTGTGTACTCATGACTGTAAACCTACGTTTGTTCACCCCAGTATTCTTAGTGATTGATAAAGTGCCATAAGACAGGTACTAGTAACTTTTACTAACTGTTGGTAGCCCCCAAATTATAACTAGTTTGCATTTTTAAAGGTTCATTTAAAAATAAACATGTTTCAAAATCCTTTTATGGGAAATATATGTTCATGGGTTTCTGCTAGGATTCCAGAAGCTCGGTTTTATGAGGACAACAGAGATGGAATCCCTGTCATCTTAAACTCACCAAGTAGGCAATTTACATGGTGATTCCTGCCCCTTCCTTTTCCAAGCTATTGATGGGTAATTCTTGTGTTCAGGAGCAAGGACTCTGCAGAGGTGGGGACTACAGTTATGGGGAGCCCCAGAAAACTAAGTCTAGGTGGGAACAGGGCAAAAGTTTACTGTTTTTCTTCAGTAGATCCAGGGATTTGCCCACCATTCATTGCTTCTAAATAGTATCACAACCACTCAGCTTCTCTTCTGTCCCCAATGCCAGTTAAGAGAGAATCCAGAGGAGCAGCAAAGGCGTAACAAAGAAAAGGTTTTCAAGTGTTTCAAGTTAGACTGGATGCGTCTGCAGGAAGATTTTAATTTCTTTCTTTACATATTTTGTTTAGGCCACACAAGGAAAAATAAATTACTTTGGTTGTATGTTATGTAAGGACTGAAGTAGCTACTTTGGCTTTAAGTCGAAGTTTTTACACTATCCTTTCAGTATCTTCCTTCATCTCAAGGGAATACTGTATTTGCATTTTGTTTCAAAAAGTGCGGTGGTGCTCTAGTTAAAGAACAAGCTGGGTCCTTTTGGAAGAGGGTTAAGCTTGAGACTTGAGACTTTGAACCGTTGCCAGGTGGGACTGCTATAGGTGTTTGTTATCCCTTCGCCATTGCCAAAGATCACTGAAGGGCTCGTGTGGATTGGCCTCCGACTGAGTAGGACATGAGAGCAGTCTGGTAGTGGCATCATAGAGAGTAGCCAGTTTTCAAAAGAAGGAAAGAAAAGAAGTAGTCCCAAGCCTGGAGGGAACAAAACAAAAATGGAAACCTCTTGGGTGGAGTGATAAGGAAAGCATGTATATAAATGAAGACTACTTGCATTTAGTAAATATAAAATGTAACCTAAGAGTACATATAAATCATCTGTAGTGGAAGGAAATTAAAATGTGACTTTAGTTATAGAAATGATGCTATTTACATGGAGGATACAAGCTAAGCTTTGAGTTCATTTTTTAGTATTTTTCGATAAATTGCTTTTATATGTAGTTTTGAAGGACATAGGTCAGGAATGGAGAAGAATGTCTATTTTATGTTTTAAACCAACCTTTCTGAAATTGATCAAGCCCATAATTTTGGCTTCATTGAGTAATCATTTTATTCTGATTTTTCAAGCAATAACAGTGAAAGAGTTGGGAAAAGCTATTTTAAAATCACATATACTATGTATCTACTTTAAAAATTTCAGAATACTTAACATACACAAATAAATAATTAGTGACAAGATTGAAGTTGGTGGACTTAACATGTATTCATTTTTCTTCCTTTCAAAACTCCAATGAAATTAAATGGATTAAGAAGAAAAGGTTATGAACCCTCAAGTACAAAGTGAATAGATAGCAGAGAGGAATAACAATTAGATTTGCAACTTACAAGTCAGTAAACTGACTTAGATGGGAGAAAATATGAATTCTAAGCTGTCAGCTTGGAAAACAGAAGCAACCTGGTTTATAAGGGAGAAAAGCCCAGAAATTGGTGTCAAAAGGTAACTGAAAGTAGGGATGAAGGTGAGGCTTAAAGCAGGAAAACTGCTTCAAGTTTGTTAAGAAGAAATTAGAACATTAGGCCTGCTTCCCTACTCTGTTCAGACTCTCGCGCCCTTTCATGGGAGATTGGAGAGGCTAAAATAGAGTCTCTGGTCAGGGAAACAGGAGACACAGGTGAGGAGGGAGGGTGTGTGTGGGGGGGTGGAGGAGTTAAAGGAAGAGAAGCATGTTCACATTTTGACAGCTCCAGCCTCCTTCCTGCCCAGACTGCCTGGCAACCCGACTTATATCCTCCATCCAAGAGAATGGGAAAAGCCTTTGGGAAACCAGATCTTCCCAAAGCAAAGGTCCCATCAAGTCACTCAAAGTGTAGCTCACAGTCAGCAACCCCACCACGTATACGCGAAGGCTCCAGTGCCCTTTCAACAGAAGCAGAGCACCAAGGATCACCCGACATTAAGGAAAACTTTTTTTTTTTTTTAAATCTTTATTGATTTCAGAGAGAGGAAAGGAGAGGGAGAGAGATAGAAACATCAATGATGAGAGAGTCATTGATCAAGCCCACAACCTGGGCATGTGCCCTGACCGGGAATCGAACCCCGATCTCCTGGATCCTGGGTCGATGCTCAACCACTGAGCCACGCCTGGCTGGGCGAGGAAAACTTCTAATACGGAGTACGAAGATGAAGTTAAGCCCAAAAATGAAGCTTGGGAAAACTTGTTTGCAAGCCCAGTGCAGTCTTTAAAACGAATATCCTCAGGAATTAATATATTGAATCTTTGAAACAAAAACTGGATAATATTTACAAGAGCTCTTGGAAATTTAAATTTAGAGATTCACTGTAGGAGATCTAACACATAAATGCTGGTTTTCCAGGGAGAAAATGGAGGGAAGGAAATCATGAAAAGTGAGTCAAGGATAATGAACCAAAATTAATGAGTTTCCTGACTAAAAGGACGTACGAAAAACCCAGCCTAGTGTATGAGAGTAATCTGGACCTGGGCACATTGTCATGCAATTTTAAAACAGTGGAAACAGAGAACTGGTTCTACAAATTTCCAAAGAGCTGGGGTACAGGGGTTGGGGAGGGGACTTTATACAAAGACTCAAGAATCATAGTGCCAATTTCTCAGTAGCAAATTAGAAACTAGAAGACTGCAGCATTGCCTTCACAATTCTTGGGGACAGTTATTTCCAAACTAGAAATCTCTACAAACTCAAACTAAATGGAAGAATAAAGGCATTGTCCAGTATATAAGGCCTCTCTCTTTGGGGAAACTACTAGAGGATGTGCTCCCACGGTAGTAAAGTTGTAAATCAAAAAAGATAATGTGGGATCTGGGAAACAGGGTCTAACATGAGAGAGAATAAATTTCCAGGAGGATGTGTAGGGAGATCCAGAGATCACAGGCCTAGATCGGAGCAGGTTGGAAAGCTCTGGGAGTGATTCAAAGACAGTAAAATTGATAGAATTACATAATATATGTGAATGTATTTAGAACAAAAGTTTGAGGTGGAATTAATGATAAATAAATACACAGCACAGCCAACAAAGGAAAGGACCAGGTATTTAACTGTAGCAAGACAAATGTGCAGGGGGAAAAAATATAGTATGTACTTCTATAGTCATAATTAAAATGCTGAGTTTCTGTTTAATCAAAATATACAACCACTGGAAGGTTGGAGGTGGAAAGTATATGGAGTAGGATATAGATGGGAGAGGGTGTGAGAAAGAGCTCAATCTTCTGTGCTGGGAAGTCAATGGATAATGCTTATAATTTGAATACAAGAAAAGACAATGTAGGAATGTTATTTGAAGATCTGTAGGTAAATACTGAAAATAATTGCCTGGTAAAAGGAAATAGAGAATGAGGGCACAGTAGCAAGCTGCTGTTTTCATAGCAGAAGTTGTAGAACTGATTGGCTTTTTAATGTTTATTTTTCAAAAAAAATTTTAAGCGAAAAAAATTTTTTTAAGCCTTGTTTGAATTAAAAAATAATACAGATGTAACTATAAATGACAATATGGATTCATTTCACAAGCATAATGTTGAGTGAAATAAGCCAGACAAGAAAGAGATTTGATCCTGAAACACTGAGATTTTTGAGCTGTAGATTCACAAACTGTTTCTCCTGTTAAAAATTTTATTGTCGACCACATCGGGTCTGCATGCTGGGCTCTGTGTTTTCTGGGAACCAGTTTTCCTTGTGTTTGGTATTGCTGTCTTTGGTGGCACTGATCTCTCCTGAACTGCTTTCTCCCTTCCATGTCTTCCTCTGCCTTTGTTGGTGAGCACAGCCTTTTCTCGATGTTATTAATTTGGTGTTAGTCTCGGTGTGTGTGGTCTCTTTTTTTTGTCTACTCTATGTAGTGTGCATGTGTTTATTTTTGCAAAGAAGAAATACAGGCAGGATAAACTTAAATCCTAATAAAGCAGTGAATTTAATAAAATAAAAAATAGAGATTTTATTTATAAAATGTAAAAAAGTGTACTTTTTATAAATAGTATACTTTTCAAAATAATGTATAAAAACCCAACTAATGTAGATGTTAAAGTCATGAGAGAGTCTACCTCTGTGTGCGGTGGGGCAGGAGGAAGGAGATGGCTGGTGCGTGATGAGGCCAAAGAAGGCTCCTCATAATGGCCTGGACGCTGGTTACTTGGGTGTTTACTCTGGGAAATTCATCAAGCTGTGAACACTTACTATGACTCATTCACTTTCTTTATATAAGTTATTATACTTAATGAAGTTTATTCCCCAAATAATAATACAGGTAGTTACTTTTAGATTGCCATGTTAATATTAACTGAGATGTCTGTAAGAACTCTACGTGTATTTGACTCCATGGTAAAGTAATGTGCAGAAAATCTTAATCATTTGGTATTTTTTAATTTTTCTAAAGTAGACTGAGAGTGAAGCCCATATTTGGTTTTTCATGACAACTTTTATGGTAACGTGGTTATCATTTATTCTGAAACTATTAAGGTGTAGGGGTCAGCAAACTACAGAGTGGGCCAAATCCTGCCCATGGCCCACTGTGTACATCTTTGAGCTAAGAATGGGGTTTTTTTGCATTTTTAAGGGGAAAAAGAAAATGCAAGAGTAATTATATGTGGCCTACAAAGCCTAAAATATTTACTATCTGGCCCTTTACGGAATAAATTTGCTCACCCTCCTGGAAGAAAGAAGCCATGAAAATTCTAACTAGAAGCAATGCAACTTTAAAAAAAGAAAAAAACAGAGCTTCTGAAAATGGTTAAAATAGTATGTTTTTAAATTGTAGTTTTGTTAAGGTGTTTAGACTAGTAAAAAGGAATTTCTACAACATGGCTAAGCTTGATTTGTTCTGTTGCAGGTTGTAGGCGGCCTAGATATCCACAAAAAGATGGTGGTAGATGTGTGACTCTTTTTTAAAGAGTACCGCCCAACACTTTTGCTTTCTTCTCCATCTCTGAAGATCTGCTCAAGACGTCCAGCAATGCTCTCTGTGTATTTAAATGGAAGTATTTTTCTCTGTGAAGCCACATTTTCCAACATGAGCCTCATGAAGCCAACTAAGTGTTATTGAACTCTTATCTCTCAATAACTCCGTGTAGCACTTTAAAGTCTGAAGGACAGCAACATGAAAAGAGCATATCAGTGTGGTGAAGAAAGGGAAGGGGTTGGCTTTTTAATTTATTTTTCTTCATCTTTTATAACAAGAAAGTATCTATATATACATATGTAAATATTTATATATAGATATATGTAGCTTTCTATATGTGTAGTAGGTTGGCTTTAATTTAATATACTTGATTCAGAAACAAAATGATAGAGTACAAAAGTGCCAAGCAGAACATAAAACATCTTTACTTTTATTTCACACAGTTTTATATATAGGTAGAAGATTGTACAATTTGAACCGGGTGTTAGGCCAGCTACTTTCCTTTTCCTGTGCTTTCTCCTTTGAGAGATTGACAAAGCATTTGTTAACGTCCTATTATTTACCTTAATTACATTTTTGTAACAGAGGAGTTTGTAACTTTATTTATACCTATGAATATATTTCCAGGGACTACGTCTCATTGCTGAGCAGCTTTTTTTACATCTCTGCGTGAGGAGAAAGTATAGTTCAGTGCTACTGCCAAGAGCTCATTCTTGTGTTCATATAGTACCTGCACAAAGCTTATGGCTGCTTCATTCTGTTCTTCATAACCGGGAGCCATCACATTTATTAAATGTCCCTGAGTACATGTAAGTTTCAGTTGTGATTCATACATAAAGGCCAGAAGCTATGTGAGGCAATCATAATTTACCTTTGACATTACTTAATGAAGAGTACCTAAAATAAATGTGTAATTGCATAGGATATCCATTCGTTTTTAGTACATGGGTAAATAATTTGTCATTAAACCCACGTTTGAACCATAAACTTCCCCTTCTGTGTTTCAAAAGACTTGCAGCTAATCTGAAACATGGGTGATATTTAATGTGCATGTATCGGAACACCCATATATATTTGTGACTTAAATGGGAGAAATCCTATTCATGTGTATGCCACAGAAGAGAAAAATTTTATCCAAATTTATACCTCTTAAATTTCTTTACCGTAAGGTGTAAAGAGTGCATGAAGGTGTTCTTTCTTGATTTGCCCATGTTTGTAATGGATAACTTAATAAATTTGTGTGATATAAAAGTAGTGCATCATATTCCACCACTTGTTACTGTCCCTTCCCTTTTCTGCAAAGGTACTGTTGGCTGGAAGAAAACGTTTTGTTTAGCTTTCTAGGACAGTAGTCTTTCCCTATATAGCTTTTCAATAAAAACTGGTTTTATAGTCCTTAGTGGGAAAGGGCAGGTTGAATCAAGGTGAACGAATCCTAAATTGGGCACAGCTGCCTGCCATCGCTGTTCCTTCAACTGAGTGCTGCACATCATGGGCTCTGTCTGTGAGAGAAAAATCTCGGTGCTTGGTGTCCTTGCATGACATGGAGTTTTGCATGTAGATCGGTTTAAAATGTACCTCTTGTTTACATAATTTGCATAATTTTAAAAGATAATGTTGCCAAACTTTGGAAATGTTAATGTTCAAACTGAAAATCTCCACTACATGTAACTTTCTTCCTCTGGATCAGTACGTGGTTTATAATCCCAGCCAGTGGTTTGATCTGTTCCAGTGTCAACTGCCATGTGCTCTGCTTCAAGGGGGAACTAGTCTTTTGTGAATTTTTTGTACATAAGTATTTGTTACAAATATTTTAGCAAATGCTTTCTATTTCTCTTGCTTGTGCATATCTTGGCTGGCGTTACAGAAAAATAGTGCAAACATTATTTCCTTACTGGGGAATGAGGGTTTTTTTCTTTC